GTGTGTCATGTACGAATAATATCATAGTTTTATTATCTTGTATTTATTTATTAATAAATTAAGTTGTTAATAAATAAATAAATTTAACCATATAGTTGCTATATATTAGACCATTTGCTACGTTCTCAGATTTTAAGTCCCAAACATTGCTCTTGAGATTTTGTCCCGCTAGAATAACCATCCGCCGCACTGTGGAGCGCTGGTCAGCGCGTGACGTAGCAATCCACGACGACTACGACAGCGGCGATTTGACGCGATCGAACAGTCCTTCAGAATTTAAAATATATACAGTCCTTGCGCGCTACCTACATATTTTTAACTGGTTTGATGAGTAATAACTTTTCGTCCGTACCTGTATGTATATATTTACGTAAAAAAGTCTTGGCAAAAATCGCTACGAGTAAGGGTTCTCGAGATATTTGAAACCGAAATTATGAATACCTGTCATCATTGACATACATTAAACATGTTGACTAAATAGTTATTAGGCTGAAATCATAAATGCCAAAAGTTCAACAGAAACTGTTTTATCATCATTTTTTGAAGAAAAATTTATGATTAATTTAAAAAAATAAAAAGTTCCCAAATTTATCATTTCAGTCAAATAACTATCTACTCAACATGTTTATTTTTTAGCCAATAATCATATGTATTAACTATTTCCATTTTAAACATCTTGAAAACGGTTGCTCGTAGTGATTTATACCTAGAAACATTTTTTACATAAAAAATCACGGAAATGCAAATTTTTTTACTCGGTAGTTTTATACAGGTACGAACGAAAAGTTATTACTGTTCAAAACAGTTAAAACACATGTAGGTGGCGCCCCCTACACAAAGGAGTCATATTGACATCAAAATCAAATATCTCATGTCAAAAAACTCCCAGAACCAATTTTCATCCAAATATAGATGTTATTTCAGAAATTATTTGGAAGCAATCGAAATAAAAATGAAACTTTTACACCGTGTATCTCCGAAACTAAGTATTTTATGACATATATTTATTTTTTTTACTACGTATTTTCATCTGCAGAATATGCTGCCAAAGTTTCCGGATTACAGTTCGGACCACCCTGTATACAAAATGAGTCTTAAATAAATGCAAAATATTTTCACGGCTGGTAGTTCTCGATAAAAGAAGCATATTTTCTCTTTATCGTTTTCAAATAAGTCTAAAATAACAGAGATATTTTACTTTGAAAATTAAGAAAAATTTTTCGCTTAAATTTTGAGAACCACTGTTTTTTTTGTGGATTTTCTTTCTAGTAAATTTAATCTACTACATATGTTGCCATATTATAAAGAATATTATGTTTTTTAACTAAGAATTCCAACATTTCCAAAAATTCCAAAATTTCCAAAAAAGAATTTACCAAAAAAACCTCATAGACACGTTTCTGGGGTCGAATTATACAACCACCAGTGGCGTAGCTACCTAGGGGCTAGGCGGGGCAGTGCCCCGGGGCCCTCAAGCTCAGGGGGCCCTCGAATCCTTACCAGAAATCTTGATCGAACTGAACTTTTGGAAATTTCTCCCATTTTCAAAATAAATATGACAGGTTGCAACCCTACTTTAATCATGATAACTTAATTGAGAGAAATTCAAAAAGTTATGCCTAGGGAATTCCCCTAAATTCTTTCTGTAGGTTGGCAGTGTTGTCGATTTGACGGATAGTGATATGTGCGTTTTATTATTCATCGATGTGTGTTTTATTGTGAATTCGAGTTAAGATTTTTTTTCTAGAACGGTTAAAAAATTAATGCTGTATCAGGAGTAAGTAAGCCAATGTCAATAAACTTTTTTGTACTGGTTAATATAGAGGTTCAATTTTATTTGATTTTACCACTCATATTGATGTCCGTTAAGTCAATAAATCGTGTCAAATCTACAGGGTGGTCCGAACTGTATTCCGAAAACTTCGGCAGCAGATTCTGCAGATAAAAATAAGTAAAAAAGTTCGTATAAATGTATGTCCTAAAATGCTTAGTTTTGGAGATACAGGATGTAGAAGTTTCATTGTTATTTCGATTTTTTCCAAATAATTTCTGCCGTAACATCAATATTTGGATGAAAATTGGTGTCTGGGAGTTTTTTGACATGAGAAATTTGATTTTGATGTCAATATGACTCCTACTAATAGAGAGCACCACCTACATATTTTTTAACTGGTTCGAAGAGTAATAACTTTTTGTCCTTACTTGTATAAAACTACTGAGTAAAAAAATATACATTTGCGACGTTTTTTACGTAAAAAATGTTTCTTGGTAAAAATCGCTACGAGTATTGGTTTTCGAGATATTTGGAATCGAAATTATCAATACCTGTCATAGACAAAATTAATTAAACATGTTGACTAAATAGTTATTAGACTGACATAAATTTGAAAGTTTTTGTGTCAAAAGTTCAATAGAAACTGTTTTATCATCATTTTTTTGCAGAAAAATTTATGATTAATTTAAAAAAATAGAAATTTCCCAAATTTATTTATTTCAGTGAAATTACTGTCTAACTCAACGTGTTTATTTTTCGTCAATAATGACATGTAATGACTATTTCCATTCTAAATATCTTCAGAACGGTTGCTCGTAGCGATTTTTACAAAGAGATATTTTTTACGTAGAAAGTCACAGAGATGTATATTTTCTCCCTCGGTATTTTTATACAGGTACGGACAAAAAGTTATTACGCTTAAAAAAAGTTAAAACACATGTAGGTGGCGCTCTTAACCAGTAGGAGTCATATGGACATCAAAATCAAATTTCTCATGTGAAAAAACTCCTAGACACAAATTTTCATCCAAATATTGACGTTACTTCAGAAATTATTTGGAAAAAATCGAAATAAAAATGAAACTTCTACACCCTGTATCTCTGAAACTAAGCAATTAAGGACATACGTTTATACGAACTTTTTTAATTATTTTATTTTTATCTGCAGAATATGCTACCGAAGTTTCCGGAATACAATTCGGACCATCCTGTATAGATTTCCTCACCGATTTCCAAACCGAGAAAAATATTTAAAATTGAGATTTTCAATAATGTACTACACACAGTAATATCTCAATTAGATACACGTTTTATTGGTATGAGTGCAATCTGTCATATATTCGATTTTCTAACACCAACATTTTTATTACATGTTGATGAAGCAACTTTATTACAAAAGTGTGACGAATTCCAAAGAAAATATTCAGATATTATAGGCCCTAGTTTTTCACTTCAATTTACTAATATTTACCACCTAGTTTTACCTCAACTAACTCCAAGCAGGGACTGTTCACCAATTATGTAAGGAAATAATGAGCAAATATGCAGTGCTATAATGCGACTTAACGGAAGTATTTTCAGCAATGTTATTATTCTTTACAATTTCTGTCATTTCTGCAGCAGCTGAAAGGTCATTTAGCAAATTAAAAATAATAAAAAATTATTTAAGAAATAATATGGGCCAAACTCGACTCCGACATTTATCGCTAATAGCAATTGAAAATAAAACCGCATCAAGTCTGGATTTAAACGAAGTCATTGATACTTTTACGAAAACTAAAGCTAGGAAAAATTGTAAATATAATTGTTATTTAGTCAGTTGGTAGGCCCGACCTTTATACAGGGTGTCCCACAAATAAGTGCAAGTATTTTAACTGGTAGTAAAGTTCAACCCCAGAGACACGCCTATGAGGTTTATTTCGCGATTTTTTTTTTGAAAATTCGATATTTTTCGAAAAATTTTTTAGAAATTTTTTTAGTTTTTAGTTAAAAAACATAATTTCTTGATAATATTGCAACATAAATATTAGATTAAATTTACATGAAAGAAAATCTAGAAAAGATCCAGTGGTTCTCAAAATTTTAGCAAAGAATCATTTTATTAAATTTTTAAAGTAAAATAACTCCGTTATTTTGGACTTAAACTAAGAGAAAATATGTTTCTTTTATCGAGATCTACCACCCCTTAAAATACTTGCATTTATTTCTGCGACACCCTGTATAATAAACCCTTGAATCTTCTCTATTTCGTTTTATTAGCCAAACCTACACCAAGCATTAATTGTAAACCTAATCAGTATACATAGCAGTGGGGCCCCATTTTTTAATTTGCCCCAGGGCCATTGGTTACTACGCCACTGACTACCACTAAAAATAGTTGCACTTATTTAAGACTCACCGTGTATATAAAAAATGATAAATACAAAATACATATACGACTGTGAGAAATTTGATATTTGTGAAATATCTAGACTATCAAATATTCGAATTACACTATGTACCTACTAATTTTTTTATTAGTTATTTTTTTTAATTTTTATTCTCCTCTATATGTTATCTTCTCTATAGTTATCTTCTTAACGAAGATTGGCAGTTAATCGCTTGAAGAAGTGGACACATTTCTTTTTGAGTAAAAAACTACCGTCAACCTGGTTTCCGTTTAGATTCGGAGTGGTATTTTACAAAGAAAAATTCTTATAATATTTTAGATTTCTGTTTTAAAAGTAAAGATTTCAGTTAGCGTATCCTTTTTGCTGCCAGGGCTAATCTGGACGGGGCCTACTTTGTTTACGCGGAATCCGAACCACGGTCCTCGGACATATCATGGTCAATGGCCTACCGACTTAGGAAGTGTCTAAATCAACTCTTACTCACGAGATATCCGATCTCATCCGGCCTCGAACCAGCGTGAACGAGCAGTGTGTATCAATAGATTTTACACTTTTCCCTTGAGCAACAGCACGATACAGAGTTTCGAATCGGTCACCCGTCCATCCACCAGTATCGCCTTACGTCGCTTGACTTCGGTGTTCTAATGGGAACTGGTGTTTCAACGTAGCTAGACCGTTGCTATTTCTGTTTTAATTGCTAAATACACAGACTCTTTTCAGAAATAAACCCGCCACAAATGTTTAGACATTACTTATGTGTATTGTTGGCAGTGACAGTTGTCTGTTCTGGTAATTATTCTAATTCAAAGTTAAATTGATTTCCTGTCAATTTTTGAATGTCACATGCCGAAATCTTCCATTCTTTATTAGAAAAACTTTAAATATTTGAAAAAAAAATGAAATTGCTAGTCAAAACAATTTACACCGTGTATATGGGAAAACTTGCCATGTAAAATACATGAAGCTATTTTATAGTGAAAATGATTACATATTTCACTTTTCATGCTGAAATTAAATGTAAACACATAAAAAACCTGTACGAAGAAGGATTTTCTTACGTAATTATAAAGAAGAGGTATAATTTCCAATTATTATACGGTTAATGAAACGTTGTTCACGGAATATAATAAAACAATGTATAGGTATATAAATTGATCCTTAGACTTTTTATCTAACAATATCTACATATTATACCGAGTGTTATAGATAAACCTAAGTTGTATATTAAAATTTTGATCTTTGTATGGTTAATTAAATATTCAACAAACAACTGCAACTGTAATGCTCCTAAATTGATTGTTCTCTTGATTTTTAGCAACTTGGTGTAAAACTATGAAAGTTGAATATCACAATCATCAGTGGTCCTGGGTATCATCTAAAATTAAAAATATTCCTAGTTCATCAAGGTTCACTTTTAAAACATTATTAACGTTTACGTGCTAAACTAAAACAAAAATTATTTGTCTTACATTATTTTCACACTCTCGATTGAAGACAAACAGATGTAGCAATCTGTTCTGGGAACAGAAAACCGAACGCAGACAAACGCTTTTAAAGAGTCGACCTTCCATTAAGAACAAAAAATATTAATGCAATTTTTAAATGCTTATTAAAAACCATATTTCCTAATAAAGTCTCTTTTTTCTTCTATTACAGAATCCCACCTTCGATGGAGCGATATCACATCTTTAAATTAGGTAAGTTTCAGTTTGTGTTTTATCTTATTTAACAAAATGTGCAGTACATACAGGGTGTCTGGATATTACGTGGCCATAGAACTGCTACACTTTACATCTATACAAAAGAGCTTTGTTTGCCCAAAATTGTCAAAAGTCAGTTCCAAAATCTGCTTTATCTCCGGTGAAACCGGAAGTGACCAAAAACAATTGAATACGTCAATCAATCCCAATTTATGTCATATACTAACATACCAAATATCGTTGTTTTATCTAAAAGAATAAAGAAATGTTATAGGGGCGAGCCACTTTTGAGACGCACCCGGTATAGTTAGTTATACCGGGTGCGTCTCAAAAAGGTTCACCCCTATAACTTTTTTATTTTTCCAGATAAAAAACGAGATTTGGTATGTTACTATATGCGATAAATTAGGATTGATTGACGTATTCAATTCATTCCAACTTTTGATTTTTAAATAGCATCCTCGTTATTTTTTTATTTTATTCATTAGAAAATGACACTATGAATAGAATGACATATCATATGTCAACTTTTGACATTTCCGCTTAAAACAAAATTGTATTTTAAACTTCAATCTAGAGTGGCATGGCTGTGTTAAAAACACTAATTTTTAATCAAGGAACCTTAGAAAAATAGATTTGATTGTCTAATGTTTTTAATGTCTTGCCTTGAAGAAAAGATGCCCAAATCGTATTTTTAATAATATCTCAATTTTTTTCAAATGGAACGAGAGTGGCTCGTTAGCATATTAGGAAAAAGCATTTTTTACGAATAATTTGGTACCACACACTTGGTATTTCGAGTCAAATTGTCATTATGATTTGTTTGTTGTCGATTTTTCAAATGTTTTGATTAATCTAGTATATAGATTTGCCGTAACATTTCTAATCTAGAATTATCATAGTATATATCCAGACATTTCGAGACTATTCTTCCTGCGCATTTAAAAGCTCTCTAAATTATAAAATCTGACATGTTGGACAGCATTTAAATTTTATGAGAATTATCTAAGTTAAAAAACACATAGTCAATTTTCCATCGCTTCTTATTTAATAATTTATACCAAACATAACTTAAATCATGCATTACTACCGAACAACAAAAAAAAACAAAGAGAAATTTAAGATCATTATCTTCTCATGTATTGATAGAATGTTACGATGTTATCGCCGATCTTAGATCATTTACACTTTTGCCTGTTTCATTATAAACATTTCACCGAATTATAAATTATACATTGTTGGTTTAAAATTAATTTACAATAGCTATATATTTAACTTTTCATAATATTTGACTCGTTCATTTTTATATAACCATATTAGTTCAGAAAATAAATAAATATTTGAATAATTGCTTAATAGAACCACCGCATCTTCTTTTAAAAAGTTGAAAACTTTTACTTATTATGAATATTTAAGACAAAATGGATTATGGATTTTGAAATGAAAAATTAAATAACTTTCTTTCTGTTAATGTACTCAATATTATGTCTAATATTGATTACTAAAATGTTAAATAAAATAAACACTTTAGAACTGAATTTTAAATTAATAATTATGCCCATTTTAATGGTACATATATTTCATATCAATTAAACTTTTAGTTACGCAATCGAGGGTACGATTTTTAAATTTATTGTTGCCAACCATAGACATATTCGGCGCCGTGCTGACTAACTGGAATTTAAATTTCGCGCTGGGGATTCAGGTGATAGCTCTGCTGTAAAAAATGTCAAGTTGCCGCATTTATTTATATATTTCCTGACATTGTCATTCGTTTTGACACTTCAGTTTTGTATTACGAGATTTTGGTTTAAATAAATAGTATTGTGATAATTTAAGCTTGAAAATGTTTACTAGCAGACCTTCACTGATAAAAAAGATAGCCTTGAATAGAACTTGAATTAGTGACGAGAATTTATTTTAGCGTAAAAGAAAATATTTTGCCTGAAGAAAAACTCTCTTAACTCAAGAAAACTGGTTCTCTTGAAAAATTCGAAAATTTCTCTTGAATCTATTTTCATTCAACCAAGTGCAAGTTATGTATACCATGATAGTAAGACCCATGATTACTTATGGAGCAGTTGCCTGGTACACAAAACTAGGGCAACGGACGGCAAGGCTAAACCTATGCAAAGTCCAGAGACTAGCATGCGTTTGCATCACAGGAGCCATGAGAACCTGTCCAACAGCAGCAATGGAGGTCATTCTAGATCTAACACCACTGCACATTGTCATTGGTAGATATGCCAATGCGACAATGATTAGAATGGTCACTAACGGAATTAGTACTGGGAGAATTGTGAGATCAAGGGCTTGGAACACCCTCATAAAGGAAATACCACTCCTGCAACTCCCAGTGGACGATATGCCAAGAACGTACAACTTTGAGAAACATCTCAATGTAGTATTGAGCAATAGAAAGGATTGGAAGAGCGAAACGCTTGCCCAGCTGTTAAAAGACCATACCATAACTTGGTATACTAATGCTTCCAAAACCAATCCGGGAACAGGGATCGGAGTGTTTGGGCCGAGAGCTAAATACTCCGAACCAATGGGCACTTACCCTAGTATCCTACAGGCAGAAATCTACGCTATCGAAAGATGCGTACAACTTATCTTAGATAGGTTGAACAAGATAGGTTGAATCGGAAACAAGAAATAGCCATCTTGTCTGATAGTCAAGCAGCGTTAAAAGCGATCAACTCAGTATCAATCAATTCGAAATTGGTCAAAGAATGCATAGAGAAGCTGAATAAATTAGGCAAAGAAAACAAAGTCCTCCTACTCTGGGTGCCTGCTCACCAAGGGATAGAAGGCAATGAAAAAGCAAATAATCTAGCTAGGAAAGGAGCGAACACTCCACTAACTGGACCAGAACCGTTCTGCTTTCCAAGTGGTAACCAACTCAAGGCGGAACTCAAGAACTTGGAAGATTCCATCCGCAACCTGGAATGGAAATCTTGCAACGGTCTAAGACACTCGAAGAAGTTTCTGAGGGCTTATGATCAAGAAAAACCACAAATCTTCCTGGGTTTAAGTAAGAACAATCTTCGGATTGTCACGGGGTTTTTAACAGGACACTGTCTCCTCAATGAACACCTCAGTAGATTGAAACTAAGAAGAAACGGCGAATGCAGATTCTGTGGGGAAGATGGGGAAACACCAGTACACCTCATCACTGAGTGCGCCGAGACGACAACCATTCGTGCCATGAATTTTGGTACGATTGATATTGGAGATGGAGAACTACCCTCTATAAAACCGTCCCAGATACTGGCTTTTGTCAAAGCTCTGGGATTGTATGATGAGTTATGACTCAAGAAAGGGGGACACAATGGATCTGTAAGGTCACAGTGATTAATCCCCCTCCCACTCATTCTAAATTCTAAAAGTGCAAGTTACTTTGTTTTAAGATAATAAGAAAAATACACTAGGAAGTACTTCATTCAAGAAACATGGCCATTTTTCCAATAGCTAAATACTCTTTTGATGAAAAATAATAACGATACGCAAAGACGATGACGAAGGACGGTATATACAATCAGTCGGCAGTCCGATCAGTCGTACATCATAGTACGTACGGGTTTTGTTGCTTGGAATTTTTCACTTGGAATTTTGCATAATTTGCTTTTTAAACGCATATCGTATAACAAATTAGTGATCGTTATTAACCTGCATTTGTCATTTTTATGGACAATTTTTAGGATATATGGATTCTTTAAAGGAGTTTCTGAAAAAATGGAAAGTAAAGCATTTATTTGCTATATTTGAAGGTAAGAGACATTTACCTAATGCACCTGTTTAGATAATGCATGCGTGTGACTATAGATAGAATAAGAATATTGGTATCGATTTTTTTATGCAAATAATTACAAAAATTTTAGAATTTCACTTGAAATTCTTGAGACTTCGTCGTATTAAAAAATTCAAAATGTGACCAAAGCTTATAATCTTAATGATTTATTTGCTTTACTTTGATTAATCATGATGTAACATTTCTTCGTAATTTGTAGAGTGATGAACCACCCCAAAAATACCAAAGAGTGAAGATGCAGAAATAACAACTTACTTACGAGGAAAATAATATCACTTTACTTACTACAGACCAGGAAAACCTAAATTTATCAGAAAATAATATACCTCGTAATATGCCTGTATATGATGTATAGACTTCTCTTACATCAAAATAAATTTTAGTCGAGTCAATAGTATTCGCTATTGGTTTAAGAAAAGTGTCTCTTTAATCAAGAAATGTCCCTTTTCAATCAAGAATTTTTGCATGAATCAAAGAGACTATTGTTCTTGTAGCAAGAACTTCTTCGCATATTCATTTTAGGTCAAAAGTGAAATACTTTGAACTGATAGATTCTTCTATTCTCTAAAGTAATTTTTTAAAGCTTATGAAAAGATAGTTAATGCTTTGGGCAAAGGAACGTCGTTCTTGGCCCTATTGAAAAGCGCCAATCTTTTGAGTCAAAGTCATATTCATTTCGACTGAGAGATCCTTTTTTTCATTGTTGCAGTCGAACATTGTTCTTTTTAGAACCTCTTTTAATGTACAGGGTGAGTCAACGATAGAGTAAAATCCATTATCTCATTTGTTTCGAGGTTTACAAAAAAATGTTTAATACAGAAGTTATAGAGAAGATTAAGATACACATTTTAAAATTATTATAGAGTATACAGGGTGCTTCAAGAAAGTGTGGAGGATATAACATATGTTTTTTAAATGCAACACCCCGTTTTTTATTTTATTTTTAGATTCTGCGTAAAATTCTATAACTTTTTTGTATATAATGTTATATACCTAAAATTAATAGTTATTGTAATATTTAAATTTGTTTATACAAATGTTAAATTGCAGTGTGGCAAAAAATTGTCAGTGGTACCATTGTTTCTGAAGTTGGAATACCAAAATCTGGTATGAGAGTTTTGTAGAGATTAAAAAGAAGATATATGGTAAGATATTTTAGTTAAATGTTACAGGGTGTTCAAAA